AGCGCGGTGCGGGGTGTCACCTCCGGAGAGGGGGCACTGGCACCCGGGGTGGGTGGGTGTCCCCAGGGGTTTGGGTGGGGTGCGCTCCCCCCGCAAGTATACCCACTCACATGGCTGCAGCACGGACTGGAGGGGGCTCCCCAAGTGATGGGATGGGGGCTGCCCCACAGCAGTGGGGGTGGGGCCTGCACGAGGGGATGGGGAGAGGGGCTGCCCCACAGCACCCCGACACTGAGCCCACACTGCCCCCAGGCAGCGCCCCAGCAGGGTCAGTGTCACAGACCAGCCCTGGATGGGGGCTGCCCCATGGCAATGGGGCTGGGGGCTGCCTCAGGTGATGGGGACCGGGGGTCCCCAGGTGATGGGGAAAGGGGCTGCCCCACAGCGCCCCGACATTAAGTCCACATTGCACCTAACCCCAGCAGGGTCACCGTGTCGCAGGCCAGTGACTGCCCCGTGGCCCTGGACACGCACTCTGGGGCCATGGGGCAGGTCCTGCTGCCTGCCTTGCCTGTACCCCTGGCCAGACCCCCGCCAGGGACTGCCTGGACATCCCTGCCTGGCAGGCGGGTTTGGGGGCGGGCGCTCCCCCCGGACAGGGCTGCCTGGGTGAAGGGGCGACAGCAAAGCACCGCCGAGGTGGGAGCCACAGGGTGGCTGAGGGCACCCGGGGAGCCACTTCTGCACCCCTGCCCCATTTCTCCTACTTGTGCCAGCAGCTGCTGCCCGAAGCGAGAGCCCTCACACAGCTGATGGTGCGGCTGGGAGCCCCATGCCGGGGGTGGGCACATGCCCCCGGCGGTGGTCGCCATTCCAAGCCACAGCCACGGGCAGAGGGACAGCCTGGGAAGCCAGCGAGGCCTGTCCCCCCCAGCCAGGATGTCCCCGGAGATGTCGGTGACCCTGGGTGAGCAGCAGGCATCTCCCATGACAGAGCACTGCCATCTCCTGGGGACCGCGGGGATGGGTGCTCACCCGGGGGTGCAGACAGGGGTGGGGACCAGGACCAGGCACAGGCACCCCTGAGCCTCCCGCACCTCTGTCTCCCCACGGTGACACTGTAGGGCGCTGAGCAAGAGGCCCTCGGCAATACGCGGTGGCTGCAGGGTGACAGAGGGGCAGGTGGCTGTAGCTGCGGGGTGGCCACGCATGCAGGCTCATGCGCCTTGTTCTACCCCAGCACAGCATCTTTCCAGCTAAAGTAT